TGGGCTTAAGCAATCCTTCTGCCTCAGCCTTCAGAGTAGCTGGGACTACAGGCATGCGCCACCATGCCTGACTCATTTTTTCTATATATTTTTAGTTGTCCAGCTAATTTCTTTCTATTTTTAGTAGAGACGGGGTCTTGCTCTTGCTCAGATTGGTTTTGAACTCCTGAGGTCAAACAATCCTCCCGCCTCGGTCTCCCAGAATGCTAGGATTACAGGTGTGAGCCACTGTGCCCAGCCTTTTGAGATTTTCTTAAAGTTGTGTATAACTAATAAATGCTAAAGAGCCAGATGCATTTATTATTTGATTGGAAGAAGGTGTAGAATATAAAGATTCGTTTTAAGCTCAAGAAGTTATGTGGCTAATCATAAGATTCTTGCCAGAACAAGAATCTCACAAATGGTTTTAAAAATGTATCCAAAACATGCAAGTATATTTTTAATTTACCCTTCTGATAGCTCGGAATCTGTTTATAAGTAATGTTGGTTTCCTTTAACAGATTGCATGGAGTGGAAAAACTAGTCATATATTTTTTAATCTTACATAAGGATTGAGACAGTATATTAAAATATAATTATCAAGTCACTCCCGTGTTGAACATGGGAATTACATAGTATCCATGATCATTCAGTTACTGTTGAATGCACTTCCTGTGTATATTCTAGGTTAGGGAGCTTACTAAATGCTTGATAAGTAATCCAAGGGCCCCAGTTTATAAACTCAAGGAATTTACCAGGTGGTAATTCCTTTAAATTATGATGAAGAGACATAAACATTTGGGGCTTTTTGTTTTTGTTTTTTCCCCAGGTTGAAAGGGAGTGGTGGAGGTCCCCATTTTGTCATCTGTGGCTCTCAGTTTTAAGCAGCTGAATGGGGTTAGGGGAAGTCTCTGGCCAAGGCATGGAGCTGTGCTAACCTGCCCACATGCTGATGTAGAACAAATGCACATTGGAGTGGTCTTGACATTTTGCTACTGTTGAAGTCGTGCCCTATCTATTTCTGCTTTAAAAGGAGAAAATTACTGAAGCCCCATTGTTCTTTGGCGGAAAAGAGGGGTAATTTGGTGAATACTGACATTTTCCTCTCAGGGACATTATCAAGTGCCCAGAATTTCCTTGATACTATCTGGAACATAGGAGAAAACTTGACTGAGGCATTCTTGAAGTCCTTTTTAGTCTGTGAACTATAATCCTCACTGGATGCTGTAAGTTCCCCAGAGTGGCAGGGACACAACTCTTTGCTCCTTCTGATTCCAATGGAAGAGAGGGAGAGAGAGAGAGAGAGAGAGTGGACAGGACCTGGGACTGTGATTTTTCACCTCTTGTTTGTGAGACAGGCAGGGCTGGAGCAGCGAGAATCCCTTTGGGACATGTTTTTGGTAGAAGGAGAGAGGCAACATGTTTCATTCATGCACAATGACATAAGTCATTTAATAATAAATTATATCCTGCAAACATTATACAGCACTACAAAATTTATTGTTATACCAGCTGCTAGACCTCTTATATGTATGCATTTTACTGTATTCAGTCTGTGTATGTATGACTAATACCTTCACTAATAGATTTTCTTACACACTGCTAATATTCAGTAACTCTTTACATTTGTATTATCTAGTTCACAAATATCTCTTCATTCTGCATTCATCCATAAGTAGACTGTGAAAATTTGTAAATTTGAGAAGGGTAACACAGCTACTCACAACTGGAGAATGTTAATGTGCTGGTTATTTACCTGTTTTCCCTTATTTCATCTCCGAACCCGTTCTTCCACTCTCTACAATGCTAGAGCTACCATAGTCAGTATTATCTATTGCCCAGGCTTATATGTAGCTCATGTGTATTGTATTGAATTTGGATTTTATAAATTCTAAAGTTTATCAAACTTTTTATGATTGGCACTATTCCATTGCTTGATATGTATCTATAAAGTAGGTACTATTATTATCCCTGTTTTACAGGTGAGACTGAGGCACAAAATGGATGAGTAACTTGTTTAAAGTCTCAAGTCATAAGTGGTATATTTAGAAATTAAACCCAGACTGCCTAGTTGCAGATACACAGTATTGTGGTGAATACTTAACTGCAAGTTTAAAAACCACGAGAGAGGCCGGGCGCGGTGGCTCACGCCTGTAATCCTAGCTCTCTGGGAGGCCGAGGCGGGCAGATTGTTTGAGCTCAGGAGTTTGAAACCAGCCTGAGCAAGAGCGAGACCCCGTCTCTACTAAAATTAGAAAGAAATTAATTGGACAACTAAAAATATATAGAAAAAATTAGCCGGGCATGGTGGCGCATGCCTGTAGTCCCAGCTACTCGGGAGGCCGAGGCAGGAGGATCGCTTGAGCCCAGGAGTTTAAGGTTGCTGTGAGCTAGGCTGACGCCACGGCACTCTAGCCCGGGCAACATAGTGAGACTCTGTCTCAAAAAAAAAAAAAAAAAAACCACGAGAGATAGAAAGAAAGCTCCTCAGTAACTTGTTGAATTGGCAGGCTCCTTGATTTTCTATTTTTGACATAATTCTTCTATTTAGACTTTCAAGTCAAATGGGGAGAACTAGGTTAACCTATTTAAGGATATAAATTGAACGATTACACTAAAAGATAATGCTACAATGCTAGATGTATAGTAGGAAGTAGGAAATACTTGAATGGGTGATTGCTGCTTAAGTGTATATATATGTCTTTATATAGTCCAACGTCAGTCTTTTCATATCTTGAGTGCACAAAGCCTGGTTTTTTAAAAGCTGCTAATTATAGCATTGGTACTTGTAATGATTAATACCTCTTCCCAGTTGCTGGTACAAGTAGTCATATTTAAAAAGAGCCAATTCTTTTCTGCTTGCCAACCTTGGGATCTGGACCACAGCCTTTGAAGTTATGCTTCAGTGTGTCTTAAAAACATTTCCTTAGAATTAATACTTGCTGATTATTGGCCTCAGTTTGTCCTGCAGTAAGGGCTTTGGACCTGATTATTTGTTCTCCAAGTTTATATTGCTACAAGTAGTGAGTGGTGGTAGAGGGACCCATTATGTCCATGCAGGTGGATTCAGCCCTGGTTAGAGCATCACCTTTGAGGGCCCTGCCTAACTCATTGCATAACCTTGACTGTGCTTGTTTTTTTTTTTTTTAAGACAGGGTCCAGGGCCTTGTTCTGTCACCCAAGCTCCTGTACAGTGGCCCTGTCATATTTCACTGTAGCCTTGAACTCCTGGGCTCAAGTGATCCTCCTGCCTCAGCCTTCTGAATAGCTGGGACTACAAGGTGTGCACCACTGTGCCCCGCTAATTTTTTTATTTTTTGTAGAGACGGGATCTTGCCATGTTATCCAGGCTCATCTCGAACTCCTGGCCTCAGGTGATCCTCCCACCTTAGTATCCCAAAGTGCTAGCTAGGCTTATAGGCATGAGTACTATGCCTGGCCCACATTTTTTTCCTTTTAAACAATTGTTAGGTTAGGATCCCAAAATGCAGATGTCATCACCATCACTATTTAGAAGAGTGGCTACAGCCATAATTTCTAGTGAACTTTTCTTGGTTTAAGTGATGCCGTGTTGCCTAAATCACCTCTTTCTCCAGGTTCAGTTTTTAATTTTTTTTTTGTATTTAACTTCTGTGCTGTAGTCTGTCTTCAAGTATTAGATGATTCAAAGCTATCTGTTCTTATTCAAACCCAAGGGATTAGCAAGGCTGACCAGAGCTTTATTTATGTGGGCAGACTTTGCAGGCAGTTGTGGAGCTGGCTTTTCTAGGTCCTTCTCTCTTAAGACTGGAAATTCTTCAGGACTATGCTAGAGAGATCCGTTCCACCTTCCCTTGTATCAACTCCCTTTATACGTATCTTGGGCTTTGTTTCTTAATTGTTTGCCTAATTTTATTAGTTAAAAGTGGAAACACCTTTATTGTTTCCCTGTTAAATACAGTTGTCATTCTAGACTTTGGTTTCTCTTCTTAAGCTCTCCTGTCTGTTATTTGTCTTTCACAATTCTCTGAAAATCTTTGTTTTGCTGATGGCTCCCCTGGATTTCTCTTTGTGGTGGTTTTAGGTTCTTTGGTTTTTAATTTTCTTGTTATCATTTTAAAGTCATCTCAGGAAAGAGGAGAGAAACACATGGGCTTTGTCTGGATTTTAATTCATTATTATTCCATTGAGACCCTAAAAATATCACTCTGTATCTTCCCTCCCATTGGGATGCTGGGAAGTTTCTTTCAATTAGATCACTGAATAAAAATACTGTACAATACTAGGATTTATCTCTCCATGTTTGTTTATGAAACTTAGTTATCAGACTGTTTGGAAATACATTGTGACTCTGATAAGTTATTCAGACTTGACAAAACATTTCCATCCTTTTTTTTTTTTTTTTTTTTTGCATTTCATTATTTATTTAGATGTTTAAGCTCTCGCACTAAGTTTTTACAAGCTGGTGAACACTGACAAATTATTTCTCCCACAAAACTATAACCACACATTCCCAGACAGTATAAATATATGGTTGAACTAACATTAATACACATCACCATTTTATCAATTACATAATAAAACAAATTATCAAGTATCCAGATATTAAGTTACACAGCTCAAAAGCCATATAAAATGTTAGATGTCTGCTCAATTCATTAGCAGAAACCCACCTCTTTTTTTTTGCAAGAGAGGTTGGGGCCAGGCGCGGTTGCTCACGCCCGTTATCCTAGCTCTCTGGGAGGCCGAGGCGGGCGGATTGTTTGAGCTCAGGAGTTCGAAACCAGCCTGAGCAACAGCGAGACCCCGTC